CTCTTACTTTTATGCACAAAATTCTATTAAACGAAAGCACAAATATAATTCCTTGGCTTTTCGGTCAAAAAATCATGTTCTGGAACTCGCCGGTTAGAACTTACTACGTATCGGATAACGTAAACAGATCATAACAGAAGATCAAGTATTCTCTGGGTATATTTTAAAAATTCAAGAAATTATGATTATGTAATTTATTTATTAAATTGTATAATTAATAACTTCTAATATATAAAACAAATATATATTTAACTTACGTAATGAGTAATATTTGAATTTTCAACTATATATAAAGATTCTTGGTACTATTTTTCTTTCGAGTGATTGTACTCGGCAATACAATCACTATTTTTGCAGTGTCGAATTTGTAAATATTCTATTAGCCATCATCGCTACAAAAAATTTGATTTAGGTCATAGAATCTGTTTCATTTCAGCAAAAGATATCTTGAATTTCTCCACAAAAAGAGGAATGTAAGTCATACATTTCAATCAACTTAGACTCCTGTTTAGAAAATTTATATTCAAAAGCCTAGGACGACTTTATATTAGTAGTGGTTCCTATTTAGGTGTTAATTACTAAAGAAAGGCTCATAAGACATATTTTCGGAGTGAAGACAGAAAATGTCATATTTCTCTTACACTACAATAATGGAAGATTACACTATAGTAATAAATAATAACTGTTTTAATTTTTACTAGTCAAAAATTTCTCCAGTACGTAACTTTTCATTTGATTAAAGCTTAGTTGCGGGTATTCTTTTGCAAAATTTGATTAAATTTTTTCTTAATTTTGTAAATTTGACAAATACGTCATGATCTAAACAACCTACGCTTCCATATTTTGAATAATATGACACAAGTTGTTTGCGTGCCCTATTTTCACATCAAAAGATTATCTTGTACAAGAAAACCTAATCGTCCGATGAAAAATGTGTCCTAATTTTAAAAACTGCAACAAAATATCTTTCTTTTTGAAGACAAAATGTCAAATCTACAATGGATAAATAAATTTTAATGCAATTTAAAATTTAGAAATAGAGATTCATGAATTTTTATAATGATTTGAACGTTTAAACTGAAACTTTATGTCAAAATTAATTTCTACGTCACAGAAATGTTATCTGGTTCAAACAATATAATTTTGTGAAGTAGACAAACAAGAAAATTTATGAGTAAAAGAGATCTGATGTAAGTCCTTGGCATGCGACCAACACCAGAGCTAAAACGTGACTAAATTGTTTTTTAACGACAACGATCGGGGCAACAAAGTAAACGGAGATGCATCTCTTCGCCCAATTAAAATAAGTACTCATATTTTTTCCGACGAAAGTTCAACGCGTCGACAAAGGCAACCGAGCCGATAAATATCTGCAACAGATAAATGTTTGCATCACATTTACTTAGAAAATGTTGATCGACTGGTAAGAAAATCAATAAGAGAATGCATTGCCACATAAATCCTAACATACAAAACAACAACTACAATTGGACTGTCGACAAACAACAAGTTAACGATGCAAAATATGTGAAATAACATTTTAATCAATTGAGCAAGGTACAGTACAATTCCACTTATAACTTTATGTTATAAACAACAGCATTTGGTCTATTCTTTTTTCTTTTCATTCTCATACACACTAGTAGGATAAGTATCATATATGTCAAAGAAATAAATACACCATTTAATCAATTCTATATCTGCTACTTACATTCTACTATTTTCATTTTTATGAACAAAATAAAATACCATTATTTATTTAAAAAATACTGGGTGTTAAGAAAATTATTTGCCATTTGGCACAAAGTAGAGAATGCATTTTCTACTTACAAAATGAAAAAAAAAAAAAAAAGAAAAACGAGCCACAGTTTTTTCCTCCAGATAAATTTCTGAATTGCTGTAATGTACTTTTACTACAAGGAAATACAAGTGCAGAAAAATTAATTTTATGCTATTTGAAAGTCCGAAACAATCCCTCGGACTGAACGGTTCTAAACGCGACGTCGGACAGAAAAGACTTCTCAACTCTATGTCCTTTTCTTAAGCAGAGAACAATTAAGAAAAGGAGAGAAATATCGAAAATGCTTACCAGACGTCTTTATATCTTTTATATTTTGTTAGATAATTTGTGTTTAAAGACTCATTTTACTTTGTATTTTTATAATTTAAATCACCGTTTTACATTTATTATCTAATATGTAAATTCAAACTCTCAAAATTTAATTTACGCATTTAATCACTGTAGTAATAGAAAGCCTACTTTACTTAACCTATTTAAAAAAAATTTTAAATCAAATCGACAAAATGCAAGTTTCGATACGGAGAAGTTAGTTTAACTTGTTCGGAACTATAACTTAATTATTAATCATAAACACGTTTTCTCTAGGAGACGGCTTCTCAAACTAGTCACCGGATTCGCATCTCGTATCCAGGCAAACGTGAAACACAGTTTAGCATTTATAGTTCTTTCGGTACACGACTAGAAACTAAAAAGCGCAATTACGCTGAAAAAAAGAAAGGAAAAAAAACCTTGAGGAACCAATACAAATTTCTTTATTAGAAATTACACTGACGCATTTCAGTCTTTGTTTTGAAATAATCGGCTCTAAGCAAACACAAATGAGAAAATTCCAATTGAGTTTCTCGCAATGGAACTACATACAGCGGAATATTTTCATCACAGCCTCAAAGTGTATATAATTAATTTATTTTCCAGAAACAAAATTAGCGGTAGCATCCCTCTTTCACAATAACTTTACTCTTAACTTTTACTAAATATACACAAAAGCAGTAGCTAACATCCAGTTAAAGTTTTCCTAATAACTTTTATAACATTTTTCGTCATTAACGAGGCTTTCCAGAAAAAAAAAGAAAAAAATTCGACTTCCCACCCACATCCGAAGTGCGTAATCGGTAAAATTTTCGAACAAGGGAGGCACATTTTAAGCAATTAATCATGCAAAACTAAATTTGTTGCGAGATGTGGCAGCGGGAGCATCATTTTTCCGTAGTCAGACGGGAATTAAAACTTTCAGGCGGGGGTAGAAACCATTTCGAATCGGTCCACCGACCCACCTCCCAGCAGAATCGCAGCTGATAAAACAATAACAATTAAGGGAAAGGAGGAGGAGAGGGAAGGAGGGAGGAAAAAATGGAAGTTGGAAAAGCGCACGAGTGTGAGACACGCAGGAAACACGAGCGACACGGAAATTCGATATTTACGGGATTTACGGGAGGGGAAAATACCGGTAGAAGATAATTAAGGAGGCGCGAGCGGAACGCATCCCGTTATTACAGGTTGAAAGATAACCCAGACCCTTTAGAACTACGCACGTGGCTACAAGGAACATCAATCTCGCCATCCCGACTCGATCTTTAAAAAATCCAGCAACGTGATTTGCGTAACTGAGTTTTTAATAAAATAACTTTTAGATTATTAAAATCAAAATATAAAAATAAATCGTGTCTTGCGCCATCTGTTATGAAATTTTGTTATAAAAAAAAAACTTATTATAAAACGACAAAAGTCACCTTAATTAAGTCTGACACTACTGGAGATACGCACGACCCCCTTTATCTCCCTACCCCCTCGACCTTTAAACAGCCAAAATTTAATATCATCAATGCCCCTGGTATACAAGCTACCGTAGCAAATTTCGTTACTTAACCTTAATCCTGAGATATTAAGCGTAACACATAAACACAGAATTCTTTTTTTGCCTTATTTTTTACTGTTTTTGGATTCGAGAGGTCTCAAAACGTGGAGATTTGCAAACAAATTTGACACGATCCCATACTTTCCCTTGTTATGTAGCCTATACACAACAGCTGGAAAAGTAAAATTCGCTTTTAACCGCGTAACGAGCGAGTAGCAAAGTTACGACTTAACACACATACATATATTCCGGTCCCCTATCGATTGGAGAGGATTAATACCTTACGTTATGTCCGTTACGCGTAATGTCTTCCATCAAAGATCCGAAGTATTAGTAATTCTATCATGTATTTAACACTTAACCCGGTTCTCGTTGCTATTGTTATAGGAATCACTCCGTATTAAATAAACTCAAATATCAGTTTCTTATGAGATGGAACGATGAAACAAAGCCGACTTTTTTCTTTGCGTTTTCCCTTCCCAGAGGTGAGTGTTTCGTCACCGGTCCCAAACCACCCCCGTAGAAAGACACGAAACACTGTTGCCATCCTAAAGCCATCATTCTGGGAATCGAAATCGCGGTTTTTCCTATTCCGACCGCCTAACAATCGACAAAAAAAGCGGGCCGGGCGCGCGTTCTAACCCCCCAAAGCCACCCAGAATCGTTAATGCCCCTTCGGAGGAAGAATGGGAGCCGACCGTAAAGCACGCGGACACGAGGAGACGAGAGAAAAGGGAGTTTTAATGGACGAGTCAAACCACCTCCCTCACTTGTTGACGGATAAAAGGGGCGGAAATACGTCGATAAAGGTAAATGGTGGCTCTTACTTCCAACGGCAATTTGGGCACGCTCCCGTCGGACGCCGACACAATGTCACTTCCGGTACCGTTCGATCGGCGGTTTATCTGACCGCGCAGACGTCACCTCCGGGACGGGATAAGGACGGGAAATCCATAAACGTCACACTTCGCGACGTCTTGCGGACCCGGCCGAACACGGAAAGAGAAAACCCCGTTTCGAAGGGGAGGACGGAGTGAGTCACCCCTCGCCATCCCCCACGGGGAGAAGAGGATTAGCAGAACGCTGGGAAGCTCCCGTCGGCGGTAACCCGTCCGAATCGGGTTTAAAACGCGCCCATCCCGGCTGGAGAATGAGAGAAACGGAGCGAGGGATGCAGAAAACTGTATCCACTTCACGAAATCGTAACCGCGCTCCATTAAGCTTCGCAGTAAACAACGGCCACGCGCATCTCCCCGACCGGAAACGGAAACTCTCCACGGGTTTCCGGATCCGGTGAGAAAAACGCCATTAAGAAGAAAAAAAAGAAATATAACTAATACTCACCCCGGCAACCCGAGGTAAGCGATGGTCGAAGGTAGAAGACATTCATTGACTGCCAGAGGAGGTCCAAGAGACGTCAAGGTCACCCAGTCCCGTCGTCATTCGGGAATCCGTCGACGGAGGCTGAAGAATTAAAAAAAACAATACAAATTAGTAGAAAGACACGTGATACCAGATACACGCGCTTCCATCCTACACCCGTTTCAGAACAGAAATAACAAAAAAATTTCTCGGGATACACGTCATTTCCGGTCACGTTTAAATTTCGGATGGACACCGAAAGGGTTGGAGTATAAGTAAGAAGTCGGAGACCGAGTTGAGAAAAAAAACTGGGGGGAGGAAGCTACCAGAAAAACACAAAAGATAAACGAAGGGTCCAATATGGGGCAGATTTTCGAAAAGAGTTACCGATATTTACCGGGGGAGAAGCGTTAGAACTAGGTAGAGTCGGGAGCGATTCTAGGAGCGAACTACCCAACAGGTAGCACCGGAAGACGAAGGGACGAGTAAAGAGTCGAGCCGTTCATCTCCTGGTCGGGAGGACGACAGGGTGGAAACTCACCGGAAGCGGCCTGGGGCCGGAATCCCGGCGCATCCGCAACTGGGCAGATAGGGAAAATAAATCGATGAGGGCGCGCGCGGTCCTGTCGGGTCGCAACCACTCGGAAGAGGAGGGTCCGGAGAAACCGCACGTGCTCCGCCACCCCCGGTCGGACCGCCGTCTCCCGATCGGAACGGATCGGGATCCAACAGGTGGAAGATGAGGAAAGCAGAAGGGAAGCGAGGGGAGGGAGTTCGTTTTCCGTTGGCCCGTTTCCTCCCCCGTACCAAACTGCCCAACTGACAAAATTTCGAGCGGACCTAAGCCCGACGGCGCCGACTTCCATCGATCGGTGCTCCGGAAGGGGGAGATACGAGACCGGAAGTAGACGCGGCGCACGACACGCGCTCGGATCCTCCCCGTCTTTGACGGACGGTAACTTTTAACCTTTCGAGCGGAAAGCAGAGCTCGAAGTACATCGAGTATAAGAGAAAAGTCAAAGGTTAACCGTGAAGGGTGGAATTACATCCTAAAGCGCCGCCTACGTCACCTCTTCTCCCATTTCGAGGTGGATCCACACCGCAAAATCCGAAGCGAATCTCGACTCTGTTTCCTGGATCAGAAGATCCAATTTAGGAGGAAAGCGGAGAATTTCCTGCTTTCTACTTCGAAAAGGGTTCTTCTTTGTAGCCCTTATCTGTTCCCGTCACAGATAACCTCCGTCGAATTCCCTCAAATTTTATCGATAAGGCCCTAATGGACGGTAACCAGTCGATAGAGATATCGACCCTTCCATCTTCACTTATCGTTTCTTCTCTTCCGTCGCTTTCCGGGTGGGTTAAGACGGTCAATATCGCGCTCCCCTCGCTAAAAGAATCTTCCCTCCCGCTCTTCGCTCCCGAAATCTTCCGCGGAGAACCCTCGGATTTCGGGGTGGCGGTCCTCGATACGAACTCGTTCTCCGTCTCGTCTTCCACGAGGATCGGTTGCTCCCTCGCGCCTGATGGCGGAATAATTCGCACCCGGGGGGACGTCAGCGAAATTCGTACCCAGGTATCGGGTGTCGCCTTTTAAAACGAAATTTTTTTTCTCCTATTATTATTTTTTTTAAAACTCGACGGGAAAGCAATCTGTCGAGGAGTAAGGGGATAGGCCGCAGGGAGGAGGGCGCTAATGGAAGCGCGTCGTCGGGGCCGAGTAACCCGAGATGCCCTCTACCGGGGCGCTAATCCCGCCGGCTTCCCCCTCCCCCGGTGGTGCGCGTTGGCGCGTCGCGTCGGCGCGCCCGTCTCCCATTAGCCGGCGGATTAAGAGAAGACGGGAAACGATGATGGATGGAAAGCGTCTTTTTATAATTTCCGACGCCCGACGGCGGTTTAATCCTCCTCCTCCTGCCTGGACGGGGGACTAATGGAAGAGGTCGGGGAACACGCAACGGTCCCGGAAAAAGTCGAGAGGTAACGAATATTGATAACCGGCGCGCGCGCGCGCACCATCTCGCTTGGCTGCTCCCCCTTCCGACGCCCGGAACGTTAAACGCGAGGTAAACGAAACGTATAATCCCCGCCACCCCCGCGGATTAACCCCCTTTCCACCGTCCTCCTATAACCCGTCCGTACTCCTTCTACGGGGTTACTTCCGGCTTTGTCACACTACACCCCATCAATCCACGGGTATTAACGAAACGGAAAGCGAAAGTACAGGATGCAGAAGAAGACAGGAAAAAAAACAAAGATTAACACCCGGATAAAACATCAACGTCACTTTCCGCCATCGTCTATATTCACGGTAGAAAGCCTGGTGAAGAAACCAGGTGTACACTACAAAACTTGTGTTTAGGCACGAACCCGAGCATTTCTTTAAAGCATCGAAGGATTGACCAAAGAAAACACACCTTTATCTACTGTATAAACTGTAAACTCGTGTCTGTGTGTAGCATAAACCTACATTAATTAATCATCTCGCGTGTGTGTGTGTAGGTGTAGCACCAGCCTACATGTAGAAAATGAGGACCAAAGACAGTTTCTAGACACGTTTAAACACCGAAAGAATTCATTGTCCGGCTCGGAGCACACTAACTTATAGTACGATCGGGAAATTCGCGTCACATATTATCTTTTGGCGTTCAAATTTACGAGCCATCGAAGAGAAATTTGTTGGAAAATCTTCGAAACACACGAGTTTACTCGTCTTTCTCCTTGCAAAGAGTACACTTAACTGCCCTCTCCCTTGACGTATTATACGCGAAGACGTTTACTAAACACTTCCCAACTCGAAAGGGGGCAATCTGTTATTTCTATATTTATTGGCACACCGTATCTAGAAGACCTATCGACTATCTATGGTTGTATCCGGCTTTTCACCTCGTCTAAAGTTCCCTCCTAAGCGATAGATATGGTGATGACAGCGCTGATATTGATACTAAATGCCCCTTCCCATTAGAGTGGGTTTACTAGCGACTTTCTCGCTTTCGTCTGATCTTCCCGTTTTCCAACACTTCCCAAGTCTTTCGGATTTTCAGGCTATTGGAAAACTGTCCTCATCCTCGACTATCCGGGCTTCGAATGGTACAGACATTAAACTGAATTCTTCGGATTTCTCCGCGTGCTCCCTACTTTATCATCACGTTTGATAGGAGAGAAGAGGTTTTTGATCACCTTCTAAACGAATATCCTTCGTTAAAACGGGGTGCAGAAAGTAGGATTTATATTCTAAACACCGATTTTGAATGTCGTCTAGCGCAAGAAGCCATTTTAAGAGTTACGTGGTGTTAAAATTTCTTGGTTTCAACACACTTTACAAAAGTTTAATACCGATAAAAATCAATTTTTGTAAACAAGAGAGAAACAGGAAATTACGTAATCAGAATATCGTCGAATAAGAATGCCAATCTCCTACAATTAATTCACCTAGAAAGGTTTCCATCGAAGGTAAAGATAAGTGTGATGTAAGAATGGAAAGGGGGAGAGGAAAAGGAGACCGGTAGTTTTCGAGATAATACCGAATTTTCTACGTTAAAACCCAGCCGATAAAGTAGAAATCCATGTTCTAGACGACACGGAAAGAAAAAAAAAAAAAAAAAGAATGCGATTATGGGAGGAAGAGGAAGGAAACGGAACAAAGGATGCCAAAGGACAGATAAGAGAAACTAATTCCACCGTCTGCGTATCGTAGTCTTACACAGATTAACATTAATTTCATTACTTGTCAAGGCGATATTTATCTGTGATTGATGTATTTAGTTGGGAGCATGGCCGCCTTTCATAATGATAAATGTTAATTTCATAGTCGGGAAAATTTCGTCTCTTCGCCCGTCCTATCCAGAATCCGAAGATAAGAACCAAGCCAAGCATTCGTTTCCTGTCGAGAAGTGAGGAATTTCCGGTCCACCGGCTCGCGTTTAAGCCCCGAAGTGGTCGACTTCCATCCCGTATCGAAACGACAATCATCGATTTACTCTCCCCCCCCCCCGTGTAAATTTTACGACTAATTGTCTACCTTCCATCTACGTCACGAAGATTAACGAATTCGCCTCCCCTGTACGGATTCCAACAATCACTCTGTACACACTACTACTGTAAGTGTGTGTGTGTGTACCCAAATTAACACTTGAATTTAGTTGCTAACGTACAATTTCATCGATAGATCGGCCAATCCAAACACTAAATAATTTGATTTCCAGGAAAATAAGCGGCCAGTTCGCATACCCAGAATTTAAAACTTCCAACAATTAAGCTTGTAGTACGCGTATACCCACATTATAAGGCTCTATACAAAACAGATTTTCTACACTTCTTCGATCGTATCGACGTTCTCGACCCCACTTACTAACACCTTCGCCGGGAAAGAGGAAAAAAAAACCCGGTGTCTAATTTCTTCGCCTTTCTCTCTCTCTCTTATCGATCTGCGGTAATGCTAGGTGCAGATTAATTTCCATTGGAAATTCGTAATTCCTGTTATTTGTCGTGGGGTTAGGTTTTCGCTTCGTTTACGCGCCGATAACCCTTTAAAGTCGAAAAATGCCAGTTGATTCATGCCTTCCGTTTACTTATCTAATCGGTTTGTCGCTGGCCGACGGCGAGGACTCCTTCTCTATCTCTGCCTCTCCCCTCGTACACAGGGGGAGGACGATTAGAAAGCAGTTAAATCGCGTGTTCTCTCTAACCTCTAAAGTAAGGCACGCTTACAGTTTCGTCTGACGCCCTCCGGTATACGCGATACGTTTGTGTTAATTAATGAAACGATAACAAAGATTGGTCCTTAACTTGAGGTGCGTTAAACCAGAAGTTTCGACCTTCACGGAAATCAATTCCAAGGGATCGAACTTCGACTCGTAAGCGAACGAATGGATCCGGAAAGCATTTTAAAACCCCCAAAATATTGGAAATCTAAGTAGTTTTTTTAGATCTTTACCACTAAAACTTCGATCCGTAAAGGCTCGGGAAACTGAAATGGCTTTATCGAATGATACAGAATACATTTTCGATTATTTACACTACCAAATTCCGTATTCGGATCGGTCTGCCCGTACCTATACATTCACCTGAGGATTCGGAAGAACAGATTTATGCGGTTATCCTCC